ATGAACAAAATCCTTTGGAAATGGCCCTGATCCTCTTGGCAAGCAGTGCCCCCGTCTTCTCCTCTTAGGCATCCTAACCTGATAGGGATTTTTTTTCTCTTTCATTTAATGATCTGGAGTTTAGTCAATACCTTTTATGTGATCAGGCACATGTTAGGGGCCAGGGAGAAAGATAGGATCAGGAATTGCTCTGTGAAGTATCAGATGTTGACAACTCTGTGATAAGTGCTCTGGCAGGAGCCCAAGGTGCTCAAATCCAGGTCAGCAGGACAGTGGAAGATGTTGGGGAAGTTTTCTCTGAGGTATGTGTGTGTGGAGTAAAGCAGGGTGTCTCGGGCTGAAGGAAAGCCTGGGCAAAGGCAAGGAGACATGAATCAGTGTGGCAGTCGAGGGAAGTGGAAGGAATTCAATATGGAGGGCACACAGGATAGGCTGTTGGGGTGGTGAGAGCTGAGGTAGGAGGGACCATGTACCATATAAAGGAGTTTGAGTTTTAACCCGAGGACTCGTGCTTCTCAAAACTGACTGGGCCTCAGAATCACCTGGGCAGTTTATTAGAAAGTGGATTCCTGGGCCTTCCTCCAACCTAAGGAGTCAGAATTCCCATGAGTGAGACCAGTGGCCCAGGAGGGACCCTGCACAGGCACAGGTCAGACCAGCCCTTGGGAAGTCCTGAGAAAGCTCTAAGCAGGGGAGAGGAGGTGCATAGGAGACAGCCCCAACACTCTCTCGGGCCTATGCTGAAAAGAAATCATGAGGCCTGAGTGAAGTCCTTGGGGCAGAGAGCAGCGTCCCCACCCAGTGCTCCTCAGACCACATGCCCCGTGACCAAGACAGAAGCAACCAGAAAATTCAGATTTCCAGTTGGACAAGCTCCTTCAGGCAGTACAGCAGAGGGATGGCAGAGGTGTCCCTACTACCCCATATCCCTCCACACCTGGCTCTAACAGTGTAACTTTGAAGGACTATTTCTCACCTATGCCTTCATCCTAAGTGAAACCCAATTTCCACATCCCACATGATCCTTATTCAGGCTGAGTGTAAGAGCATGTTGGGGGGAGGTGGGGAAAAGGAGTGAGGCTTGTGTTTTCATCCAGGCTGAGTGGGAGGTGGGCTTCCCTAGTAGTTCAAGCGGAGGAAGAGGGCTATGCGATTGCTGTTTACCATGTATTTGTGTTCTTCCTAGATTTCTCTCCAAAAGATGGTAATGAAATGAAAGAGTCTGATACTTAAGGACATAAGGTAGTTCCCCAGCCCAGAAACATGCCATGCTAAAGGGCTGAGGCCCAGTGTAGACCACCTTCTAGGGATTCCCACTTCACGGGATGGAGTGTAAATGCCCCAGATGCCCTCAACCAGGCCACACCACCTTGCTCTGCAGCTTCAGCCCTCCCTTGGCCTTTCCCACTTTAACTTTTACACTTAGTAATACTGAAACCAGGCAGTTTCACACTTCAATGCTTGTGTTTATGCTAATCGCTCTGTCTGAAATGCCTTCCTCCCACCCCCGTCTGTCTGGCTAATTCCTGCTGATTCCACAAGACCCAGCTCTCTCTGATACCTTCTCTCACCCAACACACACCTCAGTATGTTCCTGTGAACCGATCAATTCTAACTCCCTATGCTACCCTCAGTGGGAGCACTTATACAGAAAGTGGATGTGCCTGCCCCTTCCATGCCCCACTTGACCAGAAATTTCTCAAGGACAGGCTCTATGGTATTACATTTTGTCTCCCCACGCCTGGTACATAGTAGGAGCTCAACAGATACTTGCTGAACCAAACATAACCCAGATGAATGAGAAATATCATTAGGGTCACATGTCTTGGTAATTTAATAGCATTGGAAGAATTTGCTTATTGGTGTTTTTAAACATGTGGTATTTTAAAGCCTATAATGAGTAAACTGAAGGTGACTATTTGCATCTAAAAAGGTTGGGGGGACAGGTTTCTTTTAAACATTAAACCTTTGCTGAAACTTTCAGAAACTTGCCTTACAGATCATTAACTGCTGGGGGAGGGGTGGGAGCAGGAGTCAGGGAGAAGTTACTTCTAAGAGTCTGAGTCCCAAGATGCCTCTGAAAGAGGGAAGCAAGGCAGAAGATCTTGGAGCGGGATAGGACTGGTTCAGATTCTGCTCTAATTGTGTGGCTCTGAGCAAGTCCCTTAATCTCTCTGCACCCTGATTTCTTTATTCCTAAAGTGGTGGGATCCCATACCCACTTTGCATGGTTGTTGTTAAGATCTAAAAGATCCTATGTGGAGTATCTGAGCTCATAGGAGGTCCCTGATAATAATAATGGTATTGTTGTTAGGTTTGACATTGCATTGGAAGGAGAGGGATGATTTTACCTTGAATGGCAGGATTAAGGAAGGCAGGAAGTACCCAGAAAGAAAGGGCCAGATCATCATTGCTGGGCTGTATATTTTGACTATTATGTAACTTCAGAATTTTTAAATTTTTTTTAAACTAAAGCTTTTTATGTTGAATGTGCACAATACTGGCAACACGTGCAGTGTGGCTGATGTGAGGGTCTTGGACTCCAGAAGGACTGCCACTTACTAGCTCTGTGACCTTGAGCAGATCACCTAACTCAGTTTCCTCATTTGCAGAAGTAAACAATGCACAGTGCCCATCTTCTAAGGTTGCCATATGAGATAAGGAGTGCCGTGTGCTTAGTCCAATGCGGGTGCACAGTACACCCTCATAAATGGTGTGTTACTCTATTATGAAGTGATCAGTACTACTGAGCAGCATGCCCTGTTGGAGAAACCACTTGCTCTGGGAATATGCAGGGGGTGTGGGGGGATTAACTGCAAGAGCATTAGCCCCAGACCTTGGAGACCACCTGTCACAAGAGCTGTGACCTTGGGCCTGTTCTGTAAGGGCTTGCCCTAGATAATCTCCTAGGTTCCTGAATTAGCCCAAGGCTATTCTACCGCAGCTCCCCAGACAGCTGCTCTCAGGCCTGGGTGCTTTGGCCCTGCCCAGATGCCCCACCTTCTGCAAGGGAACTCCTCACTCAAGAGGCAGGCCTCCTCTAGAAACATCCTTGGCCTCCACCTGGCACCCACACTTTGTTCATAGTGTGGTCCTCACTGTTGCTAATGCTTGTCATCTAGATAGTGACTGTACGAGTGCAAATAGAAGAGCAACCTATGCTTGAGAGAGAAGCTTGCTGGCTGCAGGAAAGATGAACAAGCATTTTCCCTTTGTAGAGATTTCTGGAATCTCATTTTCTATCCTTTGTGGAAAAATAGGTTTGGAAATAGGCGAGGCTCCCTATGGGTGGAAAGAGAAAGAAAGCCCTGGTTGGCTTGGTCCACAGCTGCAGGTGAAGCCCTCTGCTGCTACTTTCTCCAGGTCTGGAAAAAGTGACAGCGTCTTCAGGAGTTCCCAGAAGCCTGAGAATCCATCCCTACCCCAGGTGGCTGACGATTCCCGCACCAGGCTCTCCCCTCGGCAGGACAGGATGGGGGAACCCACCTCTGCTCAGGTTACCCTCGCGCTTCCGCAAAGCAGAAAGACCTTGACCTCGGAGCAAATGACGCCCGAGGCTGATGGGGAGGTCGAGGGGAGAGGGCCCAGGATCCTCTGGAAAAGCTGTCTAAACAAAGGGCATTCCTTAGCTTCCACCCGGACAGCCCAGCCTCACCCCCAGCCGGGGGTGTAGAGTTACACGAATTCCCGCGAAGCTCGGGAAGAACTGCTGTTTTCTTAGCTTTTGCTCCGGTTGAGCCGCATCCCACAGCTGCGCCGCCCGCAGCCGCCCGGGGTCCGCGGCCGGCCGCGAGGGGTCAGTGGGGCCGAGCTCCCAGTGTCCCCCCGACACGG